CTCTTGAGGTCCCTTCCAACCCTGATATTCTATGATTCTATGATTCTCCTTCCCAGGCTTCTGCCACTGAGGTCTTAGCAATCAGCTAGGAGAATACCCAGTAGGTGAACCGAGGAGCTATTTCCCTCCCTCTCCATGGCCTACTGTTGTTACATGGGTCGCCCGTTCCCCTTGTGCTTGGGCAGTGCTCTATGCAGGGCAGTGTTGCTGTTTTGTTGGTGGTTATTTGCACTTTCCTCGGGTACTAATTTGGTGCCACCTCTCATCTTGGCTGTGGAGGTTTGGTTTTGCTTTTTGGCCTCTTCAAAATCTGTTAAATTAGGCTGAATAATAGGGAAAGAGGAGTCAGTGAACAGTTGCTAGTGAATTTTCCTGTAGAGCTCCTCTGATGAGGTACATCTCAGTGTCAGCATGAGAGTCACTCAAACAGAGCCATCCACAAGTACCAAGCGAAGAACAAAGCACCCGTGTTGAGAGGGAGTGTGCAGCACTTAGAGACTGTCAAGGCATTTCACACAAACACCCCCTGCAGGCTGAGCACCAGCCAGAGAACTGTTAGTCTGAAAGGCACATTCTGTGCTTCAAATTCAGCCCAAGTCACTGCCAGCTGCTGTTCCTAGCCCAAGTCTGGGGAGGGGAAGGAATTTGGTCATGAGCCCTTGTCTGCTGCTCTGTGATGTTCTGCTCTGTATAGGTTGTTGTCCCGTGCTCATTACCTCAGTGTCTGAGTGCCTATAGATAAAGGCCAGAAAGGATCTCATTTTTGTGTCAAACAGTCCCCTTGGTGAGCCACCCTTTCTGCTTGGCTCACCTGGGAGGTTCCGTGGGCGGCCGGAGAACGAGCAGGATTCTGACACCAGTGCCATGGCAGAGACGCCTGCCTGGGAGGTGGGATTTCCGTGACACTATTTCTGATTCGCTCCAATACACAGAGAACAGTGGGGGACAATGTCAGTTCTAGACTCCTCAGCCTACCCTTCAGCTCATTTGAGACCAGCACGCCGTTACCCAGCCACACGGGGCAGAGTCCACTTGGCATGCCCAGGAAAGGCTTGGCACACTCAGGCTAGAGAGAGGGGAAGGGCCTCTAGCCCAGGTGTGCAGAGATGCCCTGCGAGGGCCTGGGGAGTGTGGTGGTGCTGCCGTACCACTTCCTGCTCTCAGTAGGCAGCGGGACACTCTCCCTCCTGTCAGGTATGACTGGAGCAGGTGACGCTCCAGTGTGCATGGCTCTGGGCTGCTTATAAACTGGGGAAATGCAGTGGGAGGGGCCGCAGACTACCTGTTTGACTTTGGCCGAGTCCTTTGGGGCTTATCTACACGGGGAAACTTACCAGCATAACTACCAGTACGATTCTACCACTGTCGTTCTCCTGGTGTGCTATGGTGGTATAGTCATGCCAGTACATTTCCTTGTGTAGATAAGCACTTGGTCTCCCTGGGCCTCCGTTCCCATCTGTACAATGGGGCCAATGGCCCTGTCCTGCCGCATAAGGGGGTGTAGGGATAAAGACACTCGGCTGGTACGGTGACGGGATCCTGGATGGATAGGGCTGGATTCTGGCTCTGAATCCAGAATCCCAAGTTACCATTTTAAAGAGCTCTCAGTCTGGAGGAGTGCAGAGGTTGCTGTGCACAGCAGGAGGCTGAAGATTTGCATGCCCCTTCCGGGAGGAGCGGACTGCTCTGGTGACCTGTAGATGGAGAGTGTGCTGTGGGTCTGGGAGCATCTCAGCGGGGTCTCAGGAGTGTGAAATTCACCCCCCTGCCTGCTGTAGTTGCGCTGATCCACTCTCTGGGGCAGACATAGCTGAGTCAATGAAGGATTGCTTCCATCAGCCTAGATACCATCACTAAGGGAGGTGAAGTTCCTGCGACAGCAACACCCCTTCTGTCACTGGAGGAAGTGTCTGTGCTATAGTGGCATGTGGCTGTGCTACTGTAGCAGCTGCTTCTTACTGTTCGTGCCCTCCTCTGGTTTTGTGAGAACAGCGTGTGAGTGGGAAATCTCCAGGTGTGAAATGTGAGTGTGTCTGTGCTGGTACCGTATTTCCCTGCCCCTGAGCTCCGTTCATGCCAGGTTATTCGCTGGGAGCCAGTGCAACCCCAACACTCCTAACTTGGTGCTTTCTCTTTCAGGATGCGCACAACTGTATTCCTGAGCTGGACAGTGAGACGGCCATGTTCTCCGTCTACGATGGACACGGAGGTAACTGCTCCTCTCACTCTTTCTAGGGAATTGTACTTGGGCAGCTTCTTACAGGGGACTGCTCTGGTCTGCTGCAATGGCTGCCCCTTCGGGGCAAACCCTTCTGGCAGTAAAAACCCTGCTCCTTCTTGAGAAGTGTTCTCTGGGGCAAAGTGCGGACTGATGGCTGTGTGGGGCTGTGGGAGGAAGGGCACTGGGTTAGCACAGTGGGATCTGGACAACCTCCCTCTGGTGGGAGTTGGGCTCGAAGGGTCCACAGGAGGCATTCCAGGACTGAGGCTGTTTTTCCAGCTGGGCAGGGGAGCGGTTTGAGGGTCACCACTTCGAGGTGAGCACGTGCATAAGAACATAAGAATGGCCATACTGAGTCAGACCAAAGGTCCATCCAGCCCAGTACCCTGTCTACCGACAGTGGCCAATGCCAGGTGCCCCAGAGGGAGTGAACCTAACAGGCAATGATCAAGTGATCTCTCTCCTGCCATTCATCTCCACCCTCTGACAAACAGAGGCTAGGGACACCATTCCTTACCCATCCTGGCTAATAAGCCATTAATGGACTTAACCTCCATGAATTTATCTGGTTCTCTTTTAATCCCTGTTATACTCCTAGCCTTCACAACCTCCTCAGGCAAGGAGTTCCACAAGTTGACTGTGTGCTGTGTGAAGAAGAACTTCCTTTTATTTGTTTTAAACCTGCTGCCCATTAATTTCATTTGGTGGTCCCTAGTTTTTATATTATGGGAACAAGTAAATAACTTTTCCTTATTCACTTTCTCCATACATGATTTTATAGACCTCTATCATATCCCCCCTTAGTCTCCTCTTTTCCAAGCTGAAAAGTCCTAGCCTCTTTAATCTCTCCTCAAATGGGACCCGTTCCAAACCCCTAATCATTTTAGTTGCCCTGAACCGTTTCTAATGCCAGTACACCTCTACCTCAATATGTACCTTCTGTCCTCAGAAACCAAAAAATCTTACTGCGTTATAGATGAAACCGCGTTATATCGAACTTGGTTTGATCCGCCGGAGTGCGCAGCCCCGCCCCCCCGGAGTGCTGCTTTACCGTGTTATATCCAAATTCGTGTTATATCGGGTCGCGTTATATTGGGGTAGAGGTGTATATCTTCTTTGAGATGAGGAGACCACATCTGTATGCAGTATTCAAGATGTGGGCGTACCATCGATTTATATAAGGGCAATAAGATATTCTCCGTCTTATTCTCTATCCCCTTTTTAATGATTCCTAACATCCTGTTTGCTTTTTTGACCGCCTCTGCACACTGCGTGGACATCTTTAGAGAACTATCCACGATGACTCCAAGATCTTTTTCCTGACTTGTTGTAGCTAAATTAGCCCCCATCATATTGTATGTATAGTTGGGGTTATTTTTTCCAATGTGCATTACTTTACATTTATCCACATTAAATTTCATTTGCCATTTTGTTGCCCAATCACTTAGTTTTGTGAGATCTTTTTGAAGTTCTTCACAGTCTGCTTTGGACTTAACTATCTTTAGCAGTTTAGTATCATCTGCAAACTTTGCCACCTCACTGTTTACCCCTTTCTCCAGATCATTTATGAATAAGTTGAATAGGATCGGTCCTAGGACTGACCCTTGGGGAACACCACTAGTTACCCCTCTCCATTCTGAAAATTTACCATTTATTCCTACCCTTTGTTCCCTGTCTTTTAACCAGTTCTCAATCCATGAAAGGATCTTCCCTCTTCTCCCATGACAACTTAATTTATGCAAGAGCCTTTGGTGAGGGACCTTGTCAAAGGCTTTCTGGAAATCTAAGTACACTATGTCCACTTTGTCCACGTGTTTGTTGACCCCTTCAAAGAACTCTAATAGATTAGTAAGACATAATTTCCCTTTACAGAAACCATGTTGACTTTTGCCCAACAATTTATGTTCTTCTATGTGTGTGACAATTTTATTCTTTACGATTGTTTCAATTAATTTGCCCGGTACTGACTTTAGACTTACCGGTCTGTAATTGCCGGAATCACCTCTAGAGCCCTTTTTAAATATTGGCGTTACATTAGCTATCTTCCAGTCATTGGGTACAGAAGCTGATTTAAAGGACAGGTTACAAACCGTAGTTGTTAGTTCCGCAATTTCACATTTGAATTCTTTCAGAACTCTTGAGTGAATGCCATCTGGTCCCGGTGACTTGTTACTGTTAAGTTTATCAGTTAATTCCAAAACCTCCTCTAGTGACACCTCAATCTGTGACAATTCCTCAGATTTGTCACCTACAACAGCCGGCTCAAGTTTGGGAATCTCCCTAACATCCTCAGCCGTGAAGACTGAAGCAAAGATTCCATTTAATTTCTCCGCAATTACTTTATGGTCTTTAAGTGCTCCTTTGTATCTCGATCGTCCAGGGGCCACACTGGTTGTTTAGCAGGCTTCCTGCTTCTGATGTACTTAAAAACATTTTATTATTACCTTTTGAGTTTTTCCTAGCTGTTCTTCAAACTCCTTTTTGGCTTTTCTCATTAAATTTTTACACTTAAATTGGCAGAGTTTATGCTCCTTTCTATTTGCCTCACTAGGATTTGACTTCCACTTTTTAAAAGATGCCTTTTTATCTCCCACTGCTTCTTTTACATGGTTGTTAAACCACGGTGGCTCTTTTTTAGTTCTTTTACTGTGTTTTTTAATTTGGGGTATACATTTAAGTTGGGCCTCTATTATGGTGTCTTTGAAAAGTGTCCATGCAGCTTGCAGGGATTTCACTCTAGTCACTGTACCTTTTAATTTCTGTTTAACTAACCCCCTCATTTTTGCATAGTTCCCCTTTCTGAAATGAAATGCTACAGTGTTGGGCTGTTGAGATGTTCTTCCCACCACAGGAATGTTAAAAGTTGTTATATTATGGTCACTATTTCCAAGTGGTCCTGTTATAGTTACCTCTTGGACCAGCTCCTGCGCTCCACTCAGGACTAAATCGAGAATTGCCTCTCCCCTTGTGGGTTCCTGTACCAGCTGCTCCAAGAAGCAGTCATTTAAAGGATCAAGAAATTTTGTCTCTTCATTTCGTCCTGAGGTGACATGTTCCCAGTCAATATGGGGATAATTGAAATCCCACACTATTATGGAGTTCTTTATTTTGATAGCCTCTCTAATCTCCCTTAGCATTTCATCGTCACTATCACTGTCCTGGTCAGGTGGTCGATAATAGATCCCTAATGTTATATTCTTATTAGAGCATGAAGTTACTATCCATAGAGATTCTATGGAATATGTGGATTCACTTAAGATTTTTACTTCATTTGATTTCACATTTTCTTTCACATATAGTGCCACTCCCCCCCCCGCACAACCTGTTCTGTACTTCCAATATATTTTGTACCCTGGAATGATTGTGTCCCATTGATTGTCCCCACTCCACCAGGTTTCTGTGATGCCTATTATATCAATATCCTCCTTTAACACGAGGCACTCTAGTTCACCCATCTTATTATTTAGACTTCTAGCATTTGTGTACAAGCACTTTAAAAACTTGTCACTGTTTATTTGTCTGCCCTTTTCTGGTGTGTCGGATTCTTTTTTATGTGAATGTTTCTTCATACACAGAGCAGGTCCTAGAAGAAGGGGCACTTCCAGTTCTGCAGTGAGGGGATGACTTGGGGTTTGCAAGCTGCTCTGGGGGGCTCTGCAGTTGATGGCCTTGATCCTGCTTTAGTTTCTAGACTGTAGCTGAAGGTCCTTGCCTTGATGCTGCTGCCCGTGCCCCACTTCCCACGTCAGACTGAAGCCTGTGTCCAAGAGATGGAAAAGTCCTGTTAGGTTCCAGCTAGTCCAGGGGTTCTCAAACCGGGGGTCATGACCCCTCAGGGGGTGGCGAGCTGTCCGCCTCCACCCCCAAACCCCACTTCGCCTCCAGCGTTTATAATAGTGTTAAAGATTTTTAAAGTGTTTTTAATGTATAAGGTGGGTGGCACTCAGAGGCTTGCTGTGTGAAAGGGGTCACCAATGCAAAATGCCGCTGAGCTAGTCCCTTCCCCTCCGCACGCCCAGCTAAGCCAGTACTAGATGGGCCACAATCTCCATGGAACTAAGCTTTCTGTAAATGCCTAGGTAGATGGATTTTGTCCAGGGTCGGTTTCCAATCAGACTGCACGTATTCTGTGGCTGCCGACTCCACCTCTGTGCAGAAACATGGTCTGGCACCTCTACTTGCAATGTAACCAATACAGTGACATCCGCCCGAGCCTGCAGACAATAGCATTTATTTACTTGCCACCCCACCCTGATCATATCTGAGCAGCTCGCACCTTGCAATGGCCCTGCCAGGTAGGACAGGGTTGTTTATCCTCTGGCTGGTAGGGGGGAACAGAGACAGCTCAAGGACTTTTTGGAAGTGCCTTTGAGTTCAGGTGGTGTTTGGGTGCTGGACACGTCTGTCCAGAGTCACGTGCTATCTGCCTGGCCCAAAGTCACCGTGGAGTCCCCGTCGTAACTGCAAGCCCTGCCCTGTCTCTTGCTGCTGCATCCCAGCAGGGTGCTCACTTTGAAACCAAACCCTGGAATTCTCAACCTCCCCACGATAGGTCATTGAGTTTCATGTTGTTAGTAGTATTGGCTCGTGTTACCATAGCAGCTACAGGCCTCTGTCATGGCCAGCACCCCTGTGCTAGGCGCTTTGCACACATGGGACAAAAAGATGACTCCTGCCCCAAATAGCTTACAGTTGAAGTCAGGACAAGAGGGACACAGCCAGACGGGCCTGCAAGGGAACAGAGAGACAGCATTGGTGAGCAGGAGGGGCAGGGGTCTCTGCACACCAGCAGCCTGGCGGTTCTCAGTTTTTTGGAAGGTTCATGGCAGCAGAGGGTGTTGAAAGAGGCAAACGAGGCAGCTATGTGGGTGTTTGCAGGGAGCTCCTCTCAAGCATGTGGGCAGCAGGGGAGAAGGCTCGAAAATGTACCAAGGGGCAGTTGAGGCTGGCACCACGGGCCAGTTGGAGGCAGCCTTTCTCTAATGAATGAGAGAGGACGGTTGGTGGGGACGGTTGGTGGGGAAGGGCCTTGAGAGTGAAGACAGTTAGCTTATGTTAGATACAGTAGAGAAGGTGGAGGGGGACCAATGGAGGAATGCGAAGAGAGGGGTGACCTAGTCAGAGCACCCCGGCTAGGACAGTGATCTTTGCAGCAGCATTCTGAATGGGTCTGAGCGAGACAAGACTGTATTTGTCAAAGCCAGAGAGAAGGGTGTTGTAGTATTGAGATTGGAGTGCAGATGAGATTCATCCTAGACCAGTCTGAGGTGATGCTGGTGGGTTGGGGGAAGCAGCCAGAGGAGATGGAGATAGCCCCTTGGATTGAGGGGGTACAGCCACTAGCAGTTACTGATGTTCACAATTTAGGGTGATTCGAGACCCGCAACTCACTTTCCACCTGATAAAACATTTGAGTTTGTCTGGCTGAATAAGCCCAGTATGCCTTTCCGTGCTCCCGCCTCCTTGACTCTCTAGGTCCTACCAGGGTGTTTTAGAGTGACTCTCTCCTCCACTGTTCTCCTAGGTTAGGAACCAGAGATTTATAGACCATAAAGCCAGGAGGAACCTCTGTGATCATTTCTCTGACCTCTGGTGTAACACACGCCATAGTAATCCTTGTCTTAATTCCTATTTGAACTAGAGCAGAGGCTTTTAGGAAACTATCCAGTCTTGATTTAAAAATTGCCAGTGATGGAGGATAAGTTGTGCCAGTGCTTAGTTACCCTCAGTGGTTTTTTTTTTTAAGTAGTTGCATCTTATTTCTGGTCTGAATGTGTCCAGCTTCAGTTTCCAGACATTGGGCCGTTACACCTTTGCCTGCTAGATTGAAGACTCCCTCCGATATCAAATAGCTGTTCCCCATGTATGTACGTATAGACTGGGATCAAGTCACCCCTTAACCTTTCCTTTTTTAATAAAAATGTTGTGGTACCAAGTCAAACACCTCACAGAAATCTAAGTCTGTTACATCAACACTATGACCTCTATCAGCCAAATGTGTTATTTCATCAACAATAGATAGCACGTTAGTTTGACAGGATCTGTTTTCCATAAACCCATGTTGATTTGCATTAATTATATTATGTAAGAACTGCCATGCAGGGTCAGACCATGGTCCCTCTGGCACAGTAGCCTGTCTCTGACAGTTGTCCATACTGGAACTTCATGGGTAATGCACATAACAAGGTAGTTAGTGATCCACCCTGTCTTCCCCTGCTGGCTTCTGGCAGTCAGAACTTTAGGGTTGCCCAAGGATTGGGTTGTGTCCCTGACCATCTTGGCTAATAGCCATTGATGAACCCATCCTTCATGAACTTCACTAGATCTTTTTTTGAGCCCAATTCTACTTTGGCCATCACAACATCCCTGGCAATGAGATCCACAGGTGAATTGTGCATTGTGTGAAAAGGTACTTGCTCTTGTTTTGTATTCATCCTGCTACCTGTTAATTTTATTGGGTGACTCCTGGTTTTTGTATTGTGGAAAAGGGTAAATAACACCTCATTATTCACTCTCTCCACACCAGGCATGATTTTCTAGACCTCTGTCATATCCCCTCTTAGGGGTCATCCCATTGGATGAGCTGAACTCCAGGAGTTTGTGGTCAGTGCTGTCTTCTCTTGGGGGCTTCTCCTTTGGTGGGGCCCACCCTCTAGGGGTCAGGAAGTGTCGTCTGAACCACGGCCCTGTGGTCTGCCTGGCTACACTGGTTACCCAGGCTCCCCCAAGGAGGAGTTGTGGTGTCAAGTAGCCGACAGTTGGTTCAGGAGTGAAATAATCTGTATGCTCATGTGCAGGCCGTGGGTCTGTTACACGTAACTCAGAGAATTTCTCCTCCTTCTGTGTCTGGCCCTGTGGCTTGCTTCTCCTATCGCCGCCTCCTGCATTTCTTTCCTTCCTCTCCCAGTAGGACTCCGCTCTGCCCCTTAGAACCACAGTCTCCCTCGCTAATTGAAGCGTCTCCTTCCTCTTGCGCTGGGGCAGGCGCTCCTGTATGTGAACACTCACTGGCTGCCCCCTGCGTGCTGGAAACACAGCACCTCCCAGATTATCTGCATTGAGCAGAAGCCCCCTTTCCCCTGCTGCAATATCAAAGCTCGGCTCTCCAGGTGGGACTGGCCTGAGAACAGTGGAGTCCCTTGGAACCTGGCCAGCCCCAATGAAGGGTGAAAAGCCTTGGAGATTTGCTGGGGTCCCAGGGCTTGTCATATTGACGGTGTCTCCAGTGGCAGCAGCAAGTCCTGCCACCTCGGAGGTGCAGCTCCTTGGAAAGCGGAGGCCCCTGCGCCAAGCCCCGAGATATCCCACTAGCGACCTCTCCTCTGCAGCTGGTTGCTGTCTCCTCCTCCTGCACTGACCTCCGTCCTGGCCAGAGGCCTTAGATTTCCCTCGGGGCAGTCACAGCTCAGCTCACTCTGTGCCCAGGGCCACTGGGAAGAGCAGGCTTTTCAAGCAGCCTCTGTTCTCTTTCAGGGGAAGAGGTTGCCCTATATTGTGCCAAGTATCTCCCGGAGATAATCAAGGACCAGAAGGCGTACAAGGAAGGCAAACTACAGAAGGTAAGAGCCTGGCACTGCAGTGGATAAGGCACCAAGGCAGGAGAACAGGCCTCTCTGGGCGTCTAGTCCCCACCCAGGTCCCGGTGTCCTCTGGGATTGCCCAGCCCCTCTCTCAGAGGGTGTCCCAAGGCCTGGTTATTCTCCCAGGGAAGCTTTCTTCCTTTTTCCACCTTGGGTCTTCTGCTCACTAGCTGTTGGCCTCGTTGTTTAGCTGTTCCTCCTCCCTCCTTTAGTTCCCTTGAAGTTACTGAGCGGCAGTGCTCATTTCTGGCTCATGCCTTGTGTTCCCTACAGAGAGTCCCCCTCTCTGCTCTCCATATCCCCACAGAGCTGCCCTGGTTTTCAGTCTCCTCCTGGAGCAATGCAGGAATCGGACTGAAGGGCAGCAGTGTAGGTGAGAGAAATGCAGCCCCTTGAGACTCACAGCGATGGCAGAGTGGAGCTCTCGGAGAACACGGCATTAGGCGGCATGTCCTGAATGCAGACCAGTCTGGCGAAGCCAGTGACCTATAGGAACGAGCATGGTTGTTCCCCATGCTGACCCTCCCCAGTGCCATCCCATCTGCCCCATGCGCTCTCTGGCAAACCTGGCCAGTCACCTCAGTGATTCTCCTGAAGGGGCTGGGGATGTGTTGGGATCCCAGTGCTGCTGAGAGAGGGGAGGGTGGGCGGGTGGGCGCTCCCCTGAACAGCATGCAGCCCCCGTGCTGTGTGTTTGTCCGTAGGCCCTGGAGGACGCCTTCCTGGCCATCGATGCCAAGCTGACCACAGAGGAGGTGATTAAGGAGCTCGCTCAGATCGCTGGGCGGCCCCAGGATGACGACGAGGAGAAAGAGAAAGTGGCTGATGAAGATGATGGTAAGTGAAGCATGTGCCCAGCCAGTATCTGAAGCTGAGCACTGAGGCGCTGCCCGCCAGCTGTGGGAGGGGCAGCGCAGTGGCTGTGCTAGAGAAGAGTTTGCTCTTTAAAGGAGCCAGTTAAACAAAGTGCAGCTGGCGCTAACTTAGCGCTCTCCGTGAGGCGCCTCCGGGCTGGCATGGGGGAGTCGGAGTTGTTTTGTCAAGTTTGCTCGTTTAACTGACACACACCTTCCTTGGGCCCCTCCCTTGGGCGTATCTGCAGAGGTGCCCTGCTCCAGCCAAGGGTTCGAGCTTTCTGGGCCGTGGCAATGCTGGTCTGAGCTGAGATGTGGTGTGAGTGAAATGGGCAGCAGCGTCCCAAGCTCGCAGCTCCAGGGTGGGGTGGGGGGGTCATGGACGGACGGACAAGTGGTGGGACGGAGGTGAACTCCCCCCCAGGTGACTCTGGCCCAAGACTCTGCCTTTTTCATTCAAAGAAGCAGATGTGCTTTCCCACCTGAGCATGTCTGTTAGGGCAAGGAGCAAAGCCCCGACCAGGAAACGAGAATTACTCGCTGCCAGCCTTCGAGTGAACGTAAAGGGGCACCCGCACTGGACCCTGGCATTTCTCTGCGAGTGCCGGGGACACCCGGGTTCCTAAACCTGGGGGGGAAAGCCCTTCAGTTTGCTCTCTGCGTCTGACAGCACTCTGGGTAGAGTCATTTCACTTCCCATCTTTGAGCTGACTAGTAAAGGAAAAACTAGCAAAAAGGCAGCTTCAGGGAAGCAGCAAGATTCCCCCTTGAACGGCTGGCCCCGGTTTGGTGTTTGGGAAGGGCGTGCCTTAGCATTACATGTTTCCCCATGGCCCCAGCGCCTGGCTTTCAGGTGGGTGAGCGACCCGTGCCAGAGCCCTGCGGAGCGACTTGGCCCTTGAGAAGCTTAGCCTTTCTCGTTTGTGGTGTCTGATCTGTGCAAGAAAACAGACCAGCCAGTGTCCCAGCACTCGGCATCACCAGGGGCCCCCGCAAGCCCAGACCTTCAAACAAAACCCAAATACTTGGCCAGCATCAGCTGTTCCCACTTGCGAGCTCACCCCAGCACCTCGAGCTGAGCTTCCATTGGCTAATCTGGAAGGCCCTTCACATCCCTCCTTGGTGGCCACTGTGTCCATGATGGCCAGCGAGCATCGGCCAGGCTTAGCGGCTGAGAGCTGGCTGCTGTGTGTCCACAGAGCCCAGTGTGTGTGCTGTGCCTATCAGCTGTGTGAGTGCGATGGTCACCCTCCCCACTGCTTGGTCTGGGAGCTGGGTGGGGGCAGCTGTCTCCCCGTGTGTGTGGAATGCCCAGCACAATGCGGGCACTGCGGGAACACCAGGCATCTCTTGGCTAGTGCAGCTTGGAGCCAAACCTGTGCTGCTGCCACCCCACGGCGGCGTTTCCTGCTCTGACTTTCCCTCTCTCGTGCAGTGGACAATGAGGAAGCGGCTCTTCTGCACGAAGAAGCCACAATGACCATAGAGGAGCTGCTGACCCGCTATGGACAGAACTGCATCAAGAACCTCAGGAACAAGCCACTCCCTCCGGCCGGGGAGATGGGCCAGGAGCATGGTGGGGAGGCGAGCGTGAATGGAGAGACCAGCCCGGGAGAGCTGGCCGAGCACAGGGAGAGGAAGAATGGGAAGCCAGACGACGAGGCCACGGGCATTTCCTCCACCTCGGACGGAGCCGACGCTGGGGGCAACAGCTGTGCTGCAAAGCAGGCCGAAGTGGGCAGGGGCGAAGAGACGGTCACCTCCTCCACAGGGGAGGCGGGGCCCTCCTGCTCCTCCACTGGAAAGCCCCAGGGCACGGCCAAGTCCAAATTTTTTGAAGACAGTGAGGACGAGTCAGATGAGGCCGAAGAGGAGGAGGACAGTGAGGTAGGCACCAGAGCTCTGAGGCAGCTGCCTTTCCTGGGGATAGGGAATGTCTCTCTCGCCACATTCTTTAAGGGCTGTGACAGCATCGGGCCACCCCAGGCCTGCCGTCGAGGTGGGATTTACAGGCTGATGCCTGCGTCCGCACCGCCTCGCCGTGGGCCTGTGGAGGGAGGGTGCTGCAGACACTGTGGTCTGGCCAGTGCATGAGCTGGGAGCTGCTACCTGCTGCCCAGATCATACGCACCAGAGAGAGAAAAGACCTGGTGGGTCATCGGCTCCCTCTTGCTGAGCTCATCTCGTCCATCCTCCCGGAGGGGTTGTGCCCTCGGAGCCGGGCACTCCTGCTCTCTCATGGTGTCTCTCGTTTCTGTAGGAGTGCAGTGAGGATGAGGATGGCTACAGCAGTGAGGAGGCAGAGAATGAAGAGGATGAAGATGACACAGAAGAGGCTGAGGAGGATGAGGACGAAGAGGAAGAGATGATGTTACCAGGCATGGAGGGGAAAGAGGAGGTGCACATCCCATTTCTGCCTTCTCTAGGTTCTTTGTTAGTCCTGTGCCGGGGAGCACCCGCGGGCCATTTGGGAGCTGGAGAACGCCCCTTGGCCATGGAGGCTGTCTGCGCTGCAGCCCATGGATTTCCTACACAGCTCGCCTGAAGCAGGGTCTTCCCACCCGGAGGCTGTGGAGGGTTTGGAATGGGGCCTGGGCTGTGGGGCAGCAGGGGAGAAGCTGCAAAGGGAGATTCCACTGCTAGCTTATCTGGTCGGAGCTCTGCCCAGAACGTACCACAGAACAGCACGGCAGTTCCTTCAGGAGCAGCCAGCCCGGCTGTGTGTCTCACCTGCACACAGCAAACGCTAGTAATTAGCAGCTCGCCAGCCAGCCAGCTGAAGACGGCATTGGCAGCTGGGCGGGAGGCCTAGGGCTGCAGCGAGGTGCAGTGAAATGGAGACTGCAGAAGCCTCCATCCTTTCCACTACAATGCAGTGCAGCCCCTGCTTGGGGCAGGCTGAGGCTGGAGTCGCTGCAGCTTGTCCCTCCATGTGAAAGGAGAGGACAGCTGCAGGCCATGCTATTGAGCTCACTGGTGTTCCTAGGACAGTGTTTTGTCTCTGAGGGGAGAGGAGATGTCCCACTCCTGGGAAAACATACCCATGCTCTGTTCCTTTCACACCCCTTCCCCCGCCTCCTGCGGTGGCCCCCTCTTTGGGCCCGGCACCTCCTGAGAGGGGAGGTCTGGTACATCTGATGTCCCGTAAGCGCTCCTGGGGCTGGTTCGTACCTTCTCTCCCTGAATAGTTCCTTTAGGGCTAGGGCCATTGTGTCTCTGGAAAGACGTCTCACCAAACCCCTTGCCTCTCAGCCTGGCTCTGACAGTGGGACGACTGCCGTGGTAGCCCTTATCCGGGGAAAACAGCTGATTGTAGCCAATGCTGGAGACTCTCGCTGCGTGGTGTCGGAGGGTGGCAAAGCTGTGGACATGTCCTATGACCACAAGCCGGAGGATGAGCTGGAGTTGGCGAGGATAAAGAACGCCGGCGGCAAGGTCACCATGGATGGGAGAGTGAACGGGGGTCTCAACCTCTCCAGGGCAATTGGTGAGTGAATCCAGGAGGCAGGCCAGGGCACCCTGCAGCCTGGGGGATGGCACGTGCACGCAGACCGCCTGCTTCACGGTGGGTTTGTGAGCGATGGATGATTTAGATGGGGCCCAAGGCATGGTAGGTACATCAGCCAGGAGTGGTGAGAAAAGCAAACAAGATATTGGGATGTATAAGGCATGGGGTGGTGTTTTCCCTAATCAGTGGTGTGGGCTCATCTGAACACAATATGGAGTTCTCGTCACCCTCTTAAACAGGGTGTTGCACAACTAGAGGGGCTAGAGAAGGGCAGCAAGAACGGTCAAGGACTTGGGAAAACTCTTCTGTGCAGAGGGGTTTGTCCCCTTGGAAAGGAGATGAATGAGAAGGGACATGCAATGCACGGTCGAGAGAAGGGAGATCAGAAGTGTCTGTTTAAATGATGGGGACACTGAAAGGCAGAAAAATAAAACTGATCCAAGGAAATATTTTCGCACAAGGGGTCTGTGGAACTCTCTGTCACATGACATAACTGAGGCTAAGAGCCTAGCAGGATTCAGCGAGAAGTTAGATGTTTCTATAGGAATGGGGAATATCCAGAATTAGAGGAAATACTAACCCTCATATCAGAGTTCTGAACTGGCCATGAACCCTCCTGCCCAGAGCATGAGCCTCTAACTACTGGGGCTGGGGGAACCTTCCCCTGGGGCAGGCCCTGAAGGAGCTGGTGCTGGCCCCTGTCGGAGATAGGACACTGGACTAAATGGACCCTGGTCTGGAGCGCATGGGCAGTGTCTGTGTTTGTGCTCCTAAAAGCACAGGCGGTGGGGAGATGTGTGGCTAGGCTGGGGACACACTATTTTGGGGTTCTCTCTCCTCTTCAGTGTTATAGCAGCTTAAGTGCCAGGCTCTGCTGAGCTGGCCCCATGCTCCAACTCAAACACAGACCTCAATCTGCGACGGGGGAGGTTGTCCCCTCCTGCCTGCGGGAGTGCTGGCTCAGGCTGTTGGGCAGCCCCTCCCCAGCAGTCAGGGCAGTGTAGCTGGAGGAGACTGTGTCAGCACTGACCTTCCCCTCTCTTGGCAGGCGACCACTTCTACAAACGGAACAAGAACCTGCCCCCGGAAGAGCAGATGATCTCAGCCTTACCCGACATCAAGGTGCTGACGATAAACGAGGAACACGACTTCATGGTTATCGCATGCGACGGAATCTGGTGAGCACCAGAGGAGCAGAAGCCCCTGTGGGATGGATCCTGCCCCAGCCTTCGCACGGGGCAGCAGGCCAGGCGCATATCCCCGTGACACCTCAGTAAGGGTTAGAGGCCTCCTGGATTGCTCATCAAAGAGCCCGAGGCAGGCTGTCCCCAGTGGGGCGCCATTCCCTGGGCAGCGCGCTGAGAGCCCAATCCCTCCAGTTCCACGGTGCCCATGGCCCCTGAACAAGGGATCTCCTTTAACATCTGCCTTGGTGCACACCCTGCCCCTCCCATTCAGCGAGCCAGCGCTCTCCTCCCTAGCACAGCTGGGGGGGGGGACCAGCAGAACCAGGCCTCCCTGCTGTCAACTACAGGGCAGTCTTCCCTTGCCCTGCCAGCCGCTCTGACCCATCACCCGCTCTGCTGGCAGGAATGTGATGAGCAGCCAGGAAGTGGTGGATTTCATCCAGGCCAAGATCAGCCAGAAGGATGAGAACGGAGACCTGAGGCCTCTCTCCTCCATAGTAGAAGAGGTAAGCAGCCTGACTCCAGCTGCCCTTCGCTGGATGGGCTTCCTCAGCTCGCTGGGCAGTGACTCCCTGGAGGGAGAGTTACTGGGGCAGGAATCTGGGGCCCGCTCATTGCTGGGTGGTGACGAAATCCATACGGACCCAACAACTTCATCTGCCCTCCTAGTTTCAGAGGGGTAGCCATGTTAGTCTGTATCAGCAAAAACAACGAGGAGTCCTGCTGGCACTTTAGAGACTAACAAATTTATTTGGGCATAAGCTTTCGTGGGCTATAACGCACTTCATCAGCTGCATGGAGTGAAAAATACAGTAGGCAGGTATAAATATACAGCACATGAAAAGATGGGAGTTGCCTTACTGAGGGGTCAGTGCTAATGAGGCCAATTCAGTCAGGGTGGATCTGGCCCATTTCCAACAGTTGACAAGAAGCTGAGAGTATCAACAGAGGGGAAATTATTTTTTGTAGTGACCCAGCCACTTTATTCAGGCCTAATTTGATGGTGTCCAGTTTGTAAATTAATTCCAGTTCTGCAGTTTCTCGTTGAAGTCTGTTTTTGATGTTTTTTGTTGAAGAATGGCCACTTTTAAGTCTGTTATTGAGTGTCCAGGGAGATTGTTGAGAATGGGCCACATCCATCCTGATTGAATTGGCCTCGTTAACACTGACCCCCCACTTGGTAAGGTAACTCCCCCCATCTTTTCATGTGCTCTGTATTGATACCTGCTACTGTATTTTTCACTCCATGCAGCTGATGAAGTGGGTTCTAGCCCACGAAAGCTTATGCCCAAACAAATTTGTTAGTCTCTAAGGTGCCAC